GTGCTCTCACTCCGCATCAAGTTATAGGAAAATTGGGCAACGTCTAGCAAACGTACCCAATCTTTCTGGTTGGCTGCCACATAGTGCCTGAGGTACACCTCCAAGAGGCCATTGATGCGCTCCGTCTGCCCATCTGTTTGCGGGTGCAAAGATGTAGACATCTTGAGCTCCGTCCCAAGCAAACGAAAGAGTTCTTGCCAAAAACGGCCGGTGAACCTCGAGTCCCTGTTGCTTATGATCGATGTAGGCAGCCCCAAATACTTCACCACATGCCTAAGAAAGAGTTTGGCCGTTATCTCCGCGGTGCACTCTTTTGGGGCGGGAATGAAGACCGCATACTTAGACAAACGGTCTACCACAACAAGTATGTTGGTGCAACCCTCGGAAACGGGCAGGCTCATGATGAAATCCATCGAAACGCTGTCCCACGGGCGTTCCGGAATAGGCAAGGGTGATAACAAGCCATGCTTGTGGTCTTGCTCGGTCTTGTCTTGTTGGCAAACTAGACAAGTCCTTACATACGTCTCCACGTCTTCCCGCATGCGAGGCAATAGAACCGTTCATGGACTAAGGCAAGTGTGCGATGCGTACCTGGGTGACCCGCATAACGGCTATCATGGCAATCCCTTAGAATCTCCCTTCTAAGTCCATCCCATGCGGGCACGTACAAACGGTTCCCCTTGGCATAAAGTATCCCATCCTCAAGCCAGAACCGTGTTGTCTGGCCTTCCTTCACGAGCTCCATGAACCTTTGGGCTTGACGGTCGTGCTCAAGACCCTTCTTGATGCGATCAACCAACGTCCCTTCGGGTATGCTAACGATTTGCGCAAGACACGCCTTTCAGCTTAAGGCGTCGGCCACGTGGTTAGTCTTCCCTGGGCTATACTCAAGCTCGTATTTAAACTCGGCTAAGAAGTCCAACCAACGTGCTTGCTTGCTTGAAAGCTTAGGTTGGCTTTGATGGTAGCTCACTGCGCGATTGTCCGTCTTGATCTTGAACGGTGTGGCGGCCTTTAGGTAGTGCTCCCAAACTCTAAGGCAGTGAACTATAGCCAACATCTCCTTCTCGTGCGTCGGCCACCTTTTCTCGGTCTCGTTCAACTTGCGACTTTCAAAGGCGATCGGGTGGCCATCTTGCATGAGAACGCCCCCAATGGCGAAGTCCGAAGCATCCGTGCACACCTCGAACGGTTTCTCAAAATCAGGGAGAGCTAGGACTGGCTCTCGAGTGACGGCATCCTTTAAAACCTCGAACGCTGTTTGGTGTTTTGGTGTCCAAAACCAAGCTTGCCCCTTCTTCAAGAGATCTGTTAATGGAGTGGCTATGGCGGAGTGTCCTTCAATGAACCGCCGATAGTAATTAACAAGCCCCAAGAACGATCTCAGCTCCATTGGCTTTGTGGGTGCCTCCCACTCCACGATAGCTTTGATTTTAGCCGGATCCATGCAGATTTTGCCCCCACCAATGATGTGTCCCAAGAACGACATCTCCTCAAGGCCGAAGGAACACTTCTCCCTTTTAACATAGAGTTGGTTTTCCCTAAGGACTTGAAAAACAGCTCTAAGATGCTCCACATGCTCCTTCATTGTGTTACTATAGATAACGATGTCGTCCAAGTATACTACAACAAACTTGTCAATGAAATCGGCTAGCACGCATTGCATCAAAGTGCAAAACGTGGTTGGGGCGTTAGTTAAACCAAACGGCATAACAAGAAACTCATAAGAGCCATACCTCGTCACCATGGCCGTTTTTGGTTCATCACCTGGTGCTATGCGTACTTGGTAGTATCCCTTCCGCAAGTCCAGTTTGGAAAAGATCCTTGCCCGTTGCAACCGGTCGAACAAGTCCGCTATAAGTGGGATAGGGTACTTGTTCTTCACGGTTAGCTTGTTTAACGCTCGATAGTCGATGCACAAACGTAGCGTCCCATCTTTCTTGCGTTGGAACAAGGCCGGCGAACCCCATGGACTTTTAGACGGCCTTGCATGACCCGATTCAAGTAGCTCCTTGATTTGCACCTTGAGCTCCTCTAGCTCGCTAGGGGACATACGATAAGGCACCTTGGCTATCGGTTTCACCCCGTCCACCAACTCGATGGCATGATCAACCTCCCTCCTTGGTGGAAGACCTTTGGGCAAATCGTCGGGCATCACGTCCTTGAACTCAACAAGGACTCGTTCTATGGGAGGCGGGATTCGTTCCTCCTTTGCCGGCTCCTCTGTGTATGGTTCCTCCTCAAACACCATGGCGGCAAAGGTGTGTTCACCCGTTTTAGCCCCTTGTTCAGTGGGAAGGGCTAATCTCATTTTCCGTCTAAACTTTACCACACAAGGCTTCTCGCCTTGGAGGATCACCATCGTGTCGTTGCTAGGCACGATGATCGGCTTTACTGGTCTAAAACTCCATGCCAAACACAAGACCATAATCATCCATAGGTGCAATGGAGAAATTAGCCGTACACGACCGATTGCCGATTTTAAGAGGCACATCCACGGCCGCCTATAAGACCCGTCCATTCGCCGTTCACGCCCTTGAAACGGCCTTTCTTTGGTGTCTACTTGACGCCAAGCGAACGGGCTACCTCTTCCGTGAGATAACTCGTGTCGGCCCCCGTGTCTAGCATGCCCCATCTAGACCCGTTTCCGAACGATGCCTCCATGTAAAGACGGCCTTGACGTGTCTCGGCCTTGGCATGCACGGCGTCTAGCCGTTTCATGCAAGCGACCCGTTTCTCCTCTTCTTGGCACAAACCTTGTGCCAATGCTGCCAACTTCGAACGAGACGGGCAATCACGTGCCATGTGCGCTCCCGCACAAGAAGCACCCTTGAAACTTCTTTGGCTTGTCCCCCTTGGTCTCCTTGCTCGAAGACGGCTTTGTAGAGTCGGCTGCCGGTTTCGCGGGTGTCGAAGACTTCCCTTTGTCTCCCCCACCTTTGCCTTGGAATGGCTTCTTGCCCTTGTCCTTGAAGCTATCCTTCTTTTGGAAATCAAGAAGCGACTCGGCCACCTTTAACGCCCGATCGATGTCCTGGACTTCTCTCCGTTGTAGCTCAAGTTTGGCCCAACGGTTGAGGCCGTCCATGAAAGTAAAGAACGCCTCCTTGGGCGAGAGATCCGGAATTTCAAGCATCAAGTCTGAAAATTCCTTAACGTATTCCCGGATTTGGCCTTCCCTATGATGCAGACGACGAAGCTTGGCCCGGGCTTCGTCTTCCGCATCCACGGGTAGGAAATACTTTCTAAACTCTTCCTTAAAACCGTCCCACGTGGTGAAGATCGGGTCTCCGTCCCCCACGGGTTTCATCATACGTTTCCACCATGATAAAGCACTATCTTTAAGATAAAGAGAGGCTTGGAAGAGTCTTACCGAGTCGTCCATGATATTCATAGCCCCAAAGTACCGTTTCATGCTGTAGAGAAAGCTCTCCACGTCCCTCAAGTGGCGGCTGCCCTTGTATTCGTTCGGCTTGGGCGCTTCAAGCCTTGGAACCGTCCCCACGGCTCCGGTTGTCCCTTGCACGGCCACGCCGTCAAGCCGTGCCTTAAGACGTGCCGATTCTGCCCAAGAAGTCTCCAGCTCCCCCATAAGCCAGTTGACGTTGTCTTGGAGGGCGGCAACACGAGCTAGGTTTTCCTCCTTCGACTTGTTGCAACGTTCCACCATTTCGTTGAGCGTCCCTAGCATGTCGTCCTTCATTTGCTGCATGACCTCTTGCAATTCCCCTGCGAATCGCTCCAACGAACCCTGCTACCACCTCAAGGTGCTCGTCCCAATAGTCTTGGTGGTCAGCCACAGCAAGCTCTAGCTTGGCAAGCTGTTTCTCGAATTCCACCATCGGCTCCCTAACGACCGACTTCTCCTTGCGGCTTCCTTTGCGGGTGACCCTCCCCACCTCGCGGGAAACGTGATCCCCCTCAAGCTCCGACCCTTGAACGACATCCGAAAGGTTGGACATAGCTTATGCACGAAAGAAAACCAACAAACGGAAGCGTAGACGTAGCACACCAAGTATCGAGCCGAGGCTCTGATACCAACTGCCACGGCTTACTTTTTCAAAGTAACGGCCGTGCGGCACTAGCACAAAACAACTAACGATCAAGTGCTAGCTCAGCTTAAGACCCTCAAACGTGCAAATCTAGGCAAGGCCTTAAAGAACGGAGGCAAAGAAAAACTTGAGAAGGTTGAAAGTGAAAGAACGAAGAAGGTACAAGAGAGCAAGGAATCTTGAGAACTCTACTCAAAGCTTGGATGGATTACAAATGAAGGGGCATGGGGTATTTATAGGCAAACCCAAGTCCTAAAGAATTCTAGAGAATTCTATGTACATAATAAAATAATAGAATTCTGAGAATTCTTACAATAAAATATTCTAAGTTCAAAATATCTACAAGTCTCAGAATCTTCCACACTGTTCTAGCAAACTCTGTAGCTTCCACACTGTTCCACCTGTTTCTAGAGAGTTCCGGCCTCTCTAAAAAATTCCAGAGTCTTCAAGATTTGACCGGAGAATTCCACAAGGCTCTAGACCGTTCCGTCCCATGTCCCTCTACGAAAATAGCCCGTTTCGCATCAAACCACCCGAATTTGTGGTGAAGAAAAACTGTCCGTGACACTTTCAGGAAGCAAAACTTTCCCAATAATTTTTTAATTCCTCTTATACTTTCGTTTGGTCCAAATTAATTTTACACGTAAAATAGTATTTACTTAATTGACAAAAAAGTAAATATTTTAGGATAATTCATTATATTCGTTCTTTTATAATATATATTCTTTTAGACGTTTAATATATTATACACTCAGTATCCAAAATTATCGTTCCAACTAATATAGATTTGAGTTAGATAGTTTCTAAGGAAATTTTAAAATGTATTTGATTAAAAACTAAATTAAGTATTCGTTCTTTTATAATATATATTCTTTTAGACATTAATATATTATATACTCGGTATCCAAAATTATCGTTCCAACTATTATAGATTTGAGTTAAATAGTTTCTAAGGAAATTTTAAAATGTATTTGATTAAAAACTAAATTAAATTTGAATTTATCTATTCGGTTAATTGTGCGGGTTTAACATCTAGTTGGATTTCTAAAGCACAAGCTTGTGAACTGAATGTGATCGAGAATGGGGGAATTTCCTTTCTTGGTTTCCATACCAATTCGTTCGAGGGCACAGTCTCATCGGAATTGATTGAAGCACCAGCGGATAGCTACAACAATGGCGTGTTTTTAACGGCTAAGCAGCTTTTGAAAACAACTTGGAATAAAAAACAATGGCGAAGTTGTCAAGATCATTCAGGTCCCTCAAGCCCCATTCGGATTCCTTCAGTTCCAAACCCATTTCCATATCAAAGCCGTCGAATCTGAAACTGGTCCCATCTTCTTCCGAATCATCGCCGCCTGGGGTTTCATCTGCGCCAGCGGCATCAGCAGCTTCAGACTCCAAATCAAGATCGTCGACGAAGAAGAATCCGTGGTCTGTGTATTTGATCCTCTCCACCAATCCTCCTATCAAGACTTATGTTGGTGTCACCAACAATTTCTCTCGCCGGTATGTCCCATCCCTCTCTGTTTGTTAAAATGCCCGAAAGTTCTTCTATTATTTTGTCTCGACGGGTTTTTTTTTTGGTGCGTAATTTGTATCTCCGTTTAAATAGCGGTGTCTTAACCTGATGAATTCAAATTTAAGTCCCCTAAGGTTGGTCTTTCTGAAAAAATTCAATTTTTCTGAGTACATATTGTTAAACCCGGATCAATGCCTTTCTCAGGCATCTTTGCAGCATTTTGGGTTTGGTAAATGATGGTTGCATGATTGCATTTTTCTAATAACAGTGCCGTGAATTGATTGTAATTGAATAATTTTCGAATTGGCGCTCAATAAAATGTTTTGCGTATGAGTGCAATAGTGATAAGGGAATGCAACTAAGGAATTAAATAAAAAGTGGGAGAAGGGAATCATCTGGTGATAAAGGGCTTCCTTAACTGGAACTTGCTATAGAACTGGTTGCTTGTGAGTATGATGGCATTAGTACACGCCTATTAGGAACTGATGATAGTTCATAAGAGTCGGTCAAAACTTGTATTTTCTTTGAGGTTGTTGCATTGTGTTTAGCAGGATTAATGTCTGTCAGAATTTAGTGGAAGGTCCTTATTGCTTGGCTTTTGCATGCGTGTTGGTTATTCGATGGTACTTGTTGTTTAATGTTAGTTAAAATTAATTTGTGATATAGAGATGGATTTATCTCTCTAAATTATAAAACCATATTACTTTAGGATGTTAGGGGACCAGTTAAAGATCAGCCTCTATAAGGGAACATTTTGGCAATATTTGTTATGCAGTTTTTTATGGAAATATGATATCTATGGTTCTGGAATTTAAGACACTTAGAATGTTTATAAGAAGACTGTCTTTATGGTCGGGAAACTTTCCAAACTCATTAATACTCAGAGATAGTGAAACTTTTAAGGGTGATAATCACATAATCCTCAAGCCTGAGAAGTTTAATCTCTGAGGAGTTGGAGCCTTGGGGGAGTTTTTGGTAATGTTTCCTTTCACCATATAATGCAAATTTTATATCTTTGGTAGTTAACTCTAACCAGTAGTTTTGGCCAGAACGAATTTCAGAATTGATTACTTTTATGCAAAATTCATTATATCACTGACAAGTAGAAGGCAAATCAAATCTAGAATGGCATAACATGAGTTTTGCTCATAGGGCAGTTGTCATTATTGAGGTTCGCAAGCTTTGCCTTGGCTAAGGTGTCTCTTCACTTTCTGAAACTCTGATTTAGTTTATGTAGTAACATCATTAGGTTAACAATGGAATCAGTTTCAGTATGGAACTGATGTGATTTTCACTGGTTCTGCCCTTCTCATCCTGGAATAATATTGGAATTTTATATTTTAAAATGATATGTTGGCTTAGATTCTAACTTATGATTCTTATATAGTTATTCAGTTTGGCTGTGGTTGATGTTGAAACTATTGATCTTAGGTTTATCTTCTACCCTAATTGTAATGGGTTGGCTTCCAGTTATGGATAGGAAACTATTATGAAATAAGAGAAGTCTGATGTTAGTGCAGCAGCCCAAGACTATGCCTTTCCATGAGTGATTAACACGAGGGCTTTCTTTTTTTTTTTTTTTTCAAGATAGTTGTTTTTTCTTCATAACCAACTTTCCTTAAATAGGACTATATTAGCCCCTGATCTCCATCCATCTAGGACCAACCAAGCACATGAATACTCTGTAGGTTCTGTGATGATTTCTCGTCATATGAATAGATTCTCTATTCATTAGAGAACTAGAGAAATTTAGATTTCAAAATTAGCAACCGAATCTAGAGAGAGGGCGCCATAACCTAGTGGAATATATTTGATTGATTGGGCCAAAGAATTGCAAGCAAAAATCTTGGAAGACCGAAACTAATATTAAGAAAAAACGAAGTACTGTCAAGTAAAGAAACTAATCATTTCAATTTAATCCATCAAACATCAATTTTTTTGGCTTATGTCACCCACTAAGAGCTGCCAGAAGAATATAAACTAACATGGCACAAAATTTACCATTCTTATTAAAAAAATGTATGTTTTTAATATTCATTGGTCTAAAATACCTTGGGAACCTTTCACAAGATCCCAATTTGAGCCATAGCAGTATAGGAAGCAATAGAAAACATCAAATTGGGGACAATACAAACTAAATAAAACTTCAAAATTTAAATTTAGGGCCACATATGGGCCTGAGGCACGAAAATCTTCAATAGATCAAACTTGAGTTCTGTTAACTGAAGAACTTGCACTGTCTTTTGGGGTTGCGGGATCACAGTAATATACTTTGAATGGGTAGTCTTTTGGATGGATATCATTTTGGAGCATAGGTTGCAGCGATATACTCTGTCCTTCCCACATAAAAAGAGTCTTCCATGTAGAACTGAGAGAGTTTTCATTTTTCTTCCTGTGAGTGGAGGGAGGGTGTGTAGTAAATGAAAATTGCAATTCGGGGTAGTTGTGGGAGAATGAATTTATAAATAATTTGTGGGGCACTGTCACATATATGTACACCTTTGGGATCTTGGAAAAGTAGATGCAATTATCAATGATGCCTCACTGCTCAAGCATACTTATGGTTTCCTGCATAAAATTGAATTTAATCTGAATGGATTAATGTTTAAATATATATATAACATTATATGTTCTTTTTCTTTCTTTTTCCTAGAAAAGAGGCTAAGGAATATCAAAGTATTTCAAAGTCAACTGCTAAAAGTTGGTGGTTCTATTGCAGCTTGAAACAACATAATGGTGACCTTAGGGGTGGCGCCAAAGCATCTCGTGTAGGAAGACCATGGGTTTGTGCCTGTCTTATAAATGGATTTAGTGGGAAAGCTGAAGGTAATTTGTGTTGCTTATTTTAAATCAGTATTTGAAATTAGCACGTTTTGTAATTTCTTCCACAATATCATGATGCTTGAACTATAGGTCTAGTCTAGATCAAGAGACACGAGTGTAAGAAATTTCGGGTTACGAAAAATTGTTGCATGTTACTGAACTCGTGCATGAAAAAAGTTTTAGAAATAGCATTACATGAAATGGTAGTTTAATTTTCTAAACTATATATATGGTGGTAATGAAGTTTGAAATTAGAAGGTATGAGCTGATCCAGAGTAAGCCCTTTATTGATTTTACTCCACTGGTGCAGTTCTAGGCCTGTGCTTTGAACTTGATCCTCCCCAGCTCAGTTTGTGAAGCACCATGAATTTTTCTAAACTTGGATTGGGTTCAGTACCTTTTCATTTAAGAAATATTCAAAGTTGCTGGTGATATCTTGTTTTATTTCAGTAAAATTTTTGCAAGCATTCGTTTGGGTTGTTGGAAGCTGCAGCAAATTCCAAATATTACAATTGAAACCACTTTCTGTTAGTGGCTTATAAACTTATGCTTAGTTGAAGACTTGGCAGAGTGATGGACATGGATTTTAAATTTACTATCTCACTAAATTTTGTTTTTCGATTATCCCATAATACTTCTTTTTATTGTAGAAAAATCATATCTTCGTAAACTGATCTGGATCAGGTGGTTGATTCGAAACCGGCAGTTTAATACATTTCACAAAATATTGAAAGAGTAAGCATCTTGCCTATTTAAGAGCCCCGGAACCTTTATTGGGTCTGCGGAACTGTGGAAACCTATTGCTGACACAGCATACCGAAAGACCAAAAAACTTGTAGCAACTGTCATTCATGTGCAGCACATGCTCTGTAATACAATTGAGCAAACTACATGGAGTTGGTTTTGTTGTCTTTTGAATGTATTGCGAAACAACTGTTACGTTACTCATACACAACGTTTTTTTTTTTTTTTGAAGTGGTACCTGTATATTATTAAGACAAGATACCTAACTATTTCGCTTACGGCTATACGCTAAATTATGCATTTCAACATCTTGTCTGCGCACTTTAGCAGTGTGCAGGCTGTAAAAGAAGAAATTAAATTGTCTAATAATAGTAGTTTGATAACATAATAACTTTTTGGTTAATCATTTATTTCAGCTTGTAAATTTGAATTCAAATGGAAAGACTTTTCGAGGAGATTGTCCCGCCAAAGGAAATCTGTTGAAATGAGCCAAGAAGCAGAGGATGGTTCCCTTGCATTGCTGCGACACAGACATGCTGCACTCTGTCGTGTCCAAAGCTCAATTGTCTCCGATGACCTGGATATTGATTGGCGCTTTGATCTTTCTTAGTTTGGCTGCATAGATTTGGAAAGTCTGTAAGCCCTTGGTAACAGGTATGTTGTACAATAGTACCATTACACTCTATTGTGGCCTGTGACTGATTTGTATCTATTGAAGAGTTGTATGTTAAGCCCTTCGTACCTTGTAAGTTATAGTTGGATAAGTTGTATGAGTAAGCTAAATCACGCTCTATAGCGTTATGTGAATTAGTTGTATTCATTTTTCATTTTCTAACCCGTGTCTATTGTATTCATCACTTTATAGAGATTCGGGATGTTCTGTGTCTGAATAATATATATAGTCTTGGGGAAGGATTACCATAGTGCTGGGATGGGTTTACCAAACTTTGTTGCCCCATAATCAAAATAAATTTATTGCCCATTTGACTGACTAGATTAGTGTTGAAACAATCAAGACTACAAAATTTGTGCTTTTCTTATTTTCGTGCAGTGAAATGTTGAGTCTTATTGAGGGAAGAAAGGAAAATCTTGGTATGTTTGTGTTTGAGACACAAAGACCAGATGACTTCCACTCAGAAGTTTCAATCAGATGGTGAAGTCCATTTTGATGAATTTTGACTGCAGGTTTCCGTTTGTAGAATCTACACGCCTACTGGTCTTGTTCTTCCCATTTCATGAGATGCTTTCAGCAACATTAGTCATTTAAGTGTAAGTAGAAGATGAATGGGTTGTTTATTTGATGTGTCTCCACTTCTGGATGATGTATTGATGTGTATCATCTGGTTGGTGATGCCTTAGGTTCTAATTATTGGTGTAATGAAGATTTTCATAAAGCAAGATTCTGCAAATTTTGTCTTGGTTCATAGTTTCCACGTCAAAAATCTTGGTGCCTTCTTGTTTGTTTTATTTATCAGTTATACAATTATTCTCCTTTGTTGGTTTGTTTTTCTTTCTCATTTTTTGGTATTGGTGATGAAGAATCTCGTCCTGACTTATGGTTTGCCTGGGCCATGTTAGTTTTCCATTTGTGTTGGTTGTTGCATCCTTTTCTCCCATCAGAGCGAGTTCAAACAAATTTCCACTCCTTCCGCAACGAACCTCAACTTGTACAATGCTCATTCGCAATGGCACTTTTTCTATTCGCAAAATGGCTTAAACTATCACTGATGTTTTTAATTAGTTATCCGCAGATGATCTCTGGTTGTAGCAATACAGCACTACCCAACATGCAACATTCTACAGGAAATGGCGTAATACTTCTGTTTTGCTTCTTCTTCAGTTTTAGGTTAGGTCCACTTGTTATGAGCAGTCTTGTATTCTGGAGCCGGCTTTTAAGTGCGGAGTTTCATTTTTGGGTGTTCTTGCAGGTTCCTTGATAGAGCTCAACTTCGATACATGATTTGATTAGCGATCCAAATATGGTACATGAAACACTTTAAACTGTTGTTATTGTGGAGCTAGTTGTCTCATGTTGCTTCAGTTTTGGAGTTTCTAGTTGTTTGGATGGAACGGAGCACCCACAAGGAACAGAGTCATGTGGCTCCTCACATCTCTTTTTAGTTAAGAACTTGAATTTGTGTTTTGCCCGTGTTTTACTCCAAAGTACTCTAGTGGAAAATTGGTCCTTGCAAAATTCATACAATCGGCATCAAAGTTCAGTTTGCTGTAGTTTCACCCAAAATTTGGTCCATTTTATTGTAACTTCACACAAGAAAGAAAGGAGAAAAGAGGTCACCAAAATGATTATGGCAGTAACTTTAGAATGTTGACTTCATCTTTACAGCCCCTTTGATATTGAAAGGTGGGAGAGAGTACCGAGTATTGTTGGTCCTGTTCTTGTCTTAGCAGCAACTGTTTAGCTTGCTTTGTTTCATTCAGTATGAAAACTTGCATTTTCTGGTGACTTTTTCCTTTGAAAACAACCTTTGCCATTAAGCCCAAATCCCCAAACCACAATTATTCCTAGTGTCACTAAGACCACCTTTTCTGTGTGTGGGACTCTGTGTGTGTGTGTGTGTGTGTGAATGATGAATTTCTCTAGATGCCCATTGTCTCTAAACTTTTTTCGCAGAAATCACGGCATCAGGAAGACTGAAAGGAAAAAGATCGATAAAGTATAGATTGAAAATGAACTATGCTTATTACTGTATTATTTTATTTTTCTGAAATCTGGTCCAATTGAAGATCCCAATTAAATGCATTGGGGCAACAACCAATTAGCCCAATAATCCAGAAAGATTATTTCAACCCTTAGGCCTCAGACAGTCAGTGTCCTCTTATTCTCTCTTTTCGTCTCTGTCTCATCATTGTTAATAGGAATCCCTTGTTAATAATTCAACAAAATATATTGTTAAAATAGATAGGAGAAATAACATACCTTTGGTTTATCATTTCATCACAATGGTTATTAACAGCCTAAGTGGTAGGAAACAAAAATGCGTCATACTTTAACACAATGGATTTACTTTTATCAAAGGGTATAATGGTTTCAATACAACTAAGAAAATAGAGACGCGTAAGACATTAAAATAACACAGTTCGCAAATTAAAAAATAATAATAACACATTTTGACGTTTAAGACATCAACGTGTATCTATCATACATAGTCTATGAAAGTTGCCCCGATCCCTCTGCAGCTAAGAAAAGCTAAAATAATCAGCGACAAAATTATATAATGCTTGGAATTCATCCTTGGCTTTTACAGTCCATGAAAAGAATTTTGAAATGCAAACAATGAGAATATCTTGCTACTACCACACGACAACTTGTTGCTTATCTTGATTTGAGGGTGCGAGATGATCAGTGCAAAACTCATGAATAGTCTCTTCTTGCGTGAAAGCTACATTTTGCTTTATTTATTTTGCTGTTTGGAAGCGTCAAAAATTTGCAACGAGGCCATGATCGGTCCCAAACTTCACGTGTTGCCGGCCGAGAACTTTTTTATTTTATTATTATTATTATTATTTTTTTCTGGATTTCTGAAGGCTTTCTCTTGGATTTCTTCTTGTTGGACTGTATATATGAACATATATGAAAGGGAATGCTTTTTTTCAATTTTGTTTTTGTTTTCATTTTCCACGAGCATTTATTCTTTGAATGCAATTCCACTGGCAGTGATTGTTTTGTTTTTTTTTGTTGCTTTGATAATAGGTTCGAGTTCGACAATAAAAGGAGTCGTCGAGATACTGACTCGATTTAATGTTGATTTGTTGTTGATGGAATTTTATTTTTTTAAGTGTATATCTCAATAACAAAAGGGTTTTTTTTTTTTTTTTTGGATTAAGAGTTTGGATAGATTAGTTTGATGTATTTGGATTTTGGAGGATTGACTTTGTTATTGGTTTTGAAGAATTTCAAAAACAAGGTCCAAAGGTCATGGTAGTTTTGTGAATTAGTCTGGTGCAATAAAGATATTTAGTGATACAATAGTTTAATTTAATGAAATTAATTTTCCTGGAAAAAAGAGAGAGAAGGGAAAGATAAATTTTCATTTAAACGTAAGCACTTAATTTTAAAATTGTATAGTTAGAGCTGGTCCAACAATTTAATTGATGAGGATTTATAGATTACAGGAGTTTCAACACTAATTAAATGCTAATCTGAATTTCTTGAGTCTTCAGAATTCCTCAAATTAAATGCTACTCAAAATTTAATTTTACATTCTTCTTTTTGTGCCTTTTACTGTACTTTTTTTTAAAAAAAAAAAAATGCTCAATTTAAATTTCTATTTATACCACTATTTAAATTTTGTTGAATGTCCAAAGTTCGACGACTATTACTGTACTAATTAAATAGGTATCGGTAATATTCATCCATTTTCAAATAAGTATAATTAGACAACTCATAGACAGTTAAAAAAATCTTAAATTGGAAAAGTTTATTTTGTTGAAACACCACTTATTTCAAAATAGAGGGAGTACTTATAACCAGTGAAGATACATTGGTACAAATAGAAACCTGGATGCAATATCCACTTATACCTTTTGGAAGATAAAAACTTTTACAAATTTTTTTTTTTTTTGGTACAATGAAGAAGACCAAAACCTAAAATACTATAATACTAAACTATCATATTTTAGTAGATGAAAAAACTTAACAAACTTGAAAAATTATCATATTATACAAAGTATTTTGTTCAGTGTTATATAGAGATTATTCCCTCCGTTCCACAAAAATAGTCCAGTTTAATAAAAAAATTTGTCCCCAAAAAAATAGTCCAGTTTCACAAAAGCCAAAATTAATTGAATTAAAATGACTTAAATATCCAAAAGAGTAGTTGTAAGGAAATGTCCACTTCCTTTGATTTTCATTGTTTTTAGTTTTCTCCTATTTTTTCAAATGATTATATCTTTTAATACATGAATAATTAAAAATGTATTATATATCAAATTAATCTAAATAACGAGATCTTTCCATCAAGATCTATTGTCAAAAAGTTTCTTAGAAAATTTTTTTGATCAAATTTAAGTTGTAAAATAAATGCATATGTAGTTAACTTTTATAGAAATAACTAGAAGGGACATTAGTGGAAGTTAGGGCATAAAATGAGTTGTATATTTGGTGTGTTGACCAAATTAAAAAAGTTGTACATTTTAAAACTGGACTATTTTTCTGGGATGAAGGAAGTATTATATGAATAACAATCTTCTCTTCCAATCCGCGCAAACTCTAGGTACAATTTCTATTTTCCACCTTTTCGTTAATTACCAACTTTTGTATATATATATATATATACTTTCGAAATATCCCTAATAAAATGAGACTTATTTCCATTATTAATGAATCAAATTTATAAAGACTGGTTAATTTCAAAGGATTTCAAATTATAATTGTCATTACTGTCAAGGGTATATCATGAAATATAGAGGACGAAATGAGCTCTCTGTCATTACTGTTTAATCACTAATTACCTATTTAAACAGGACCAAATGAATTAATATCCACAAAAATCCAGCCGGACCAATCTCATCCCAATTAGGTAAAAGAACACAAATATTTATTTTGAGTTTGGGACCACATTAAAAAAAACAACTCAAAGTTCGTTCATTTCTAATCCTCCTCTTTGATTAATGCCAGCAAAAATGATGAATATGTTGGAATTGTACATTTTTTAATACTGGAAAGTTGAAGAAGGCCTAAAATGAAAAATCCTCTTTCTTTCAACCCAACTTTTTCCCCCAAAATTCACACCACCATAGCCAACCAACCATAATCAATTCCACCACCAAACTCCAATCCCAAAAACCCTTCTTCAACATTTATTGGGATTGGTCTCCATTCTTTACACAATTCACTTCCTCTGTCTTGAAGAAAGGCGAAAAGAAGAAAATAAATTTTTTATTAATAAAAATTGAGTCTTGATGGGCTATTTATCATGTAGAGCAGAATCAGCAATTTCAACCTCCAATTCTCAGTTTGCAGCTTCTTCGAAGAAAGCCAATCAAATCATATCAAAGGAAGATGCAAAGGAGAAACCCGTTAAGATCCAGGAGTTTGATTACAGTGATCTTGAGGCGGCCACCGATGGATTTTCTGAACAGAAGTTGTTGGGCAAAGGAAGCCATGGACTTGTGTATAAAGGGGTGCTGAGAAATGGCCGCCTGGTTGCTATCAAGAGGCCTTCAAGAGGTGGGTCGAGAATTCCCTCCAAGTCAGAGAATTCGAGTGAAGTTGAGAATGAAATCGATATTCTTTCAAAGCTGCAGAACCCAAGGCTGGTAAATCTCGTCGGCTTTAGCAATAGTGATTCTCATGATCGTCTCTTGGTTGTTGAATTTATGTGTAATGGGACGCTTTATGATGTTCTGCATTCCAGTTCTCGCCCTCCCAATTGGGGGAGGAGATTGAAATTGGCGTTACAAACTGCAAAAGCTATAGATACCCTGCATTCATGTAGTCCCCCTGTGATTCATCGAGATATTAAGTCTGCCAATGTGTTGATAGATAGGAATTTTAATGCGCGTTTAGGTGATTTCGGGTTAGCTTTAAGGTGCCATGTTGATGATTTTAGGTTGAGGTCAACTCCTCCTGCAGGTACAATGGGGTATTTGGATCCTGGTTATGTCACCCCGGATAATTTAAGCACTAAAACTGATGTTTTTAGTTTTGGGATCTTGTTGCTTGAGATCATTAGCGGAAGGAAGGCGATTGATGTCGCGTATTCGCCTCCTTCCATTGTGGATTGGGCAATCCCATTGATCAGGAGAGGGAAGCTCATTTCGATTTATGATCCTCGGATTCCACCTCCTAAGGATCCTTTAGTGAGGAAGCAGTTAGCAGTTGTTGCTGCTAAATGTGTGAGGTCTTGTAGGGAGAGGAGGCCAACAATGAGGGAGGTAGTTGAATGTTTGAGTGGACTGAGCAAGTTGGTGCCTCTGCATTCTTGGAATGGTTTCACTAATCCTTGTTTGATGGTTGAGACAGTCGGAAAACCAGTTGAAGCAAGGACTGTCACTACTAATGTGAGGGGGAAGGGGAGTGCAGAAGCTTATTTGGATGGAAATGATAGTTCAGTCGTTGCAAGACCTCTGAGAAACTCCCGGAGAGTGTACTCTGATCTGGGATTTCGGAGCAATTTGATGGATTTAATGAATGGCATTTACGGGGAGTCTGGATTTCGAAGAGACAATGATGATAGTGAGCATGGAAAAGGACCTGTTACTACTGGTTTTAGTTGCAGATTTGAAAACGAAAAGTTCATTAGCAAAAGGGACACTCCATCTACGGCGCCTGGTATTGTTGACAAACAAAGCATTGCTTCGCGATTTTCAAGTATCCTTTCAACTGAACAAAATACGGTGGACACACAATCGGAGCAGAATCCAATTACTGCTAGATCCAAAGTTGGTACTCTGATTCCTTTGTAGCTGCCTCTCTGCATTCTGATTCTGTTACTTTTAGATTCACTTCGTGTTTATATCAATTTGATGTAGATTATTTGAGGGTTTCTTTCAATGAGATTGTATCCCTCATTGTTTTCTTCCATATAGATTTGTTAGTCTATAGATTGTACCACACACAAGTGTCGCTTGCAAAATCGATGAATGTAACACATTCTTTCTCTGTTTGTTGTTTTGTTCAAAACCAATAAATGATGAAGCTTGTGTTCAAATGTAGACATACATATTTATATTGCCGTTTCTTTCCAATTCCCTAAGATAGCTCCTCTGTGTTAGCTTCGGATGAATCCCTTGAGGATTAACAACAAGTAGTTCTTCCTAGCTTTGTCAAATCTTTTTTGTTCAAATGTAATGAGATATCATGCAAATGCTAGTAGATGTGCAAAGGAGTTGAGTAAGGCGTGTTCAATTACCAAATCATCGGGTTAATTATCGAAAAATTTCCTGATGATCCGAGTAGATTGTTACTATTTCGAAATATCCAATGCTAAATGTCAATGACAATGATACGAGTTCATAATAATACTTGTAAAAGGTTGTAATTTGTAGGAGTACGAATTGAAGGAACTGAAGCCATTGGATCCATTTACCAAATTAAGTTTAAAGGTTGACAATGACTACTCAGTGCCATTTTGTTACAGACATTTTTTGGCGTATAATTGAAAAGGAGTACTCTCTTCTTCTTGTCGTTTTTTTTTTTTGGTTCTTGCTTCTGTGGATGAGACAAATTCAACAAATATAGCCGCATTGGATTTTTGTTTAGTTTGCTGTCCACATTCTCTTTGACAACATGCCCCTAGCATAATAATGTCACTTAATTTCATGTAACTTGTGTGGTACATATGGCCTTAAACAGAGGAGAAAATTAAAAACAAAAAGAAGACAGAAGTGCTTAGTTTTGTTTCTTAATACGAAATTAAGGACAGTGGAATTGTGGAAACATTTTGAACAAAAAAAAAAAAAAAAAATTAGGGAGAGAGGAAACAGTTTGAACAAGAAATTCAAGCTATTCGTTTCAGTAGAGTTATGCAAACCAGTAGACAAAAATTAATTGTTCTTTTTATCGAGTTAGGTGAAGGTCATGTGTTTTGTTAACCAAAGATGCTTTTTTAAAAGTTTCTGATTATAGGGCAAAGGGGGGAAATGAATACTTAACGAAATTGGTTAGCTCTGAACAATACTAATAAGCAAAATCACATAAGTGATCAGAAAGGATTTAAAGTTACATTTAGCACCTAAATTGTTTCTTGAGATGACCCATATTTGCGTAAGGATAATGATTCGTTCAGGGAAAAATTTACATAAAATTTTAATAACGAATGAATCTTAACCTTTTTTAAGAATAGTTAAAACTTAACAACATAATAATCCATCAAAATTCCTTACAAATTTTTTACGTATGTATCGACACTCTTTATATAATTCGTTATTGATTTAATAAACACACATACGGAAGGGATGCGTCCATATCTATATGTGCATATAAAATATTGAAAAAAGCCAAAGAATAAGCAATATTTGTAGCGGCAATTGGAGACAAATGGAAGCTCACAAATCTAGAAACTATAGCTGGCTATACCTCACAAAACCCCAGTGGCTTAAACAGTGTCTGATAGCAAATATCAGCTTCTGCGAATTAACAATATTCCTTCTCTTTTCCTTGCATTATGGCTTTACAGCTCAAACCTAATGTGGCTTTGATTTATTTTATTTTGACGTCGTCCACCTATTGAGCGAATTGAGAGGGAAGAATACGAAGACCGTTTTTAGATTAATGATGGAACTTTTCATTTTTCAATTCCATCCACTCCTCCCCTCCCATTAAGGGTTTGGTCAACCTAGCACATTTCTGTAATTTGAAGAAGCTTTTTAAAAGGTGTAATTGGACTCGTTCTAAATGAGATTTCGAAGTGTGAGAAAGTAGAAAAAACCATAAAATTACTAAAACTTAGAAGGGTTCAAATCAAATGATGATATTCGATTTTTGGCATAGAAAATAATGACTTTTTTTAACTAGAGTACAAGTCTATACTGACTGTGAGTTCTTTACGTTGGAACATCTAACCACTCTAGTTCCCACCTAAGCACAAGAAGTTCTTTCCTCCCTTCGATTTACTAGATTAGTTTTTGAGTCATGTTCGTTGATTAAATTGAGCATATCAGAAGTAGTCGAATTACATAATTTAGCCTTTGAAAAAATGCGGCGTAATAGCATAAGTGCCGATTTACACTAATATACATGTCCACTTAAAAAAAAAGAAAAGGTTTTTCAAGTGATTAATCATGGTTTTATATGAAAAAACTAAAGGAAAGAGAATATATTCTATTCAAACTTCGAACTAGATTAGATGCTTGCCCCGGGCAAGACCACATGTATTTTAAGTTTGTAAGTTAAAAAAAAAAATCATCTGATATGCTATAATAATACATTTCATTTGAGTCCATAAGGAATGATTTTTAAGAATGTTGGATGCCAAAGAATAAAGACTGTATTAAATGGTCACCTACAATATGTAAAATGGAGATCATAAAATTTACCAAAATCTAAATCTCTTTATTTTTTTAAAGCTCAGTAGCCTATCTTGCATCTTACTTTTGTTCACGGGTAAATACAAATCTATAACAAGTGAGTTTCCATCCCATATATGGATATTCAAACCTTAGAATTCAGGACATTGTTTTATTCAATTCCATAAGCTAATCTAGCAACTCACTTTACAAAGTTTCCTTTGTTTATAACCACTGCATTGGAATCTCCTTTGTACATCTTTTCCCCTCTTTGCAATATCCATCCAATGCCAACATAACCATTCAGATTCCATGATCATTATGTGATTTCCATCCGTCTTTCGAATAAACGAACGATGCTGTGAGCAAGCAAGCATTCTCGAGAACTACGCTGGCTTCCTTGCACAATTCCTACCCCATACTTTGTTGGAAACTTCATGACGAAGTGGTAGGGTGACCAAACAGCGCGGAACTGACACATCCATGGCCGTCCTAGGATCACATTGAATGGCGAGGGTGCATCAATTATGGCGAAATCTATTATTAGAGTTACCATTCGAGGATACAACGCTACCGTGATAAGAAGCCTGACGATCTCGCTAGGGATTATTGCGTGCCTTGAAAGCCCATTTGCGGTAATGTTGCGGGCGGCAATATGAATTTTTTACGTTCATCTTCTTGAAACACTCACTGTATATTATATCCACCGCACTTCCGTTATCAACATATACTCGGCTTACTTTGACATTTCCTATGATGGCCTCGATAACCATTGCGTCACTATGTGGACAGATGCCCGCGACAACATCACTGTCCGTAAAGACTATTGCCTCCGTCCCTTTGAACCGATTTGCGACTTGGTTCTTGAGGTGGTGTCTTAGCTACTAATCGAAGTGATGCTTTCATTGCTGTTGTGGACCAAACCTCAAGGGATGCGCCGTAGATAGCTCCTACGTTGTGAGTGATCTGCTTGATTAGATCTGGAGGAGGAACTTGTTGAATCGGCTGTGGCCCTCCGTCCAGGGATTGCTGGGGAGGCTGCTGCGAGTTATTCCTTTGTTGCCAATTGTTTCCTCAATTATCTCCTCGAGGGCCGTGGTTATTATTCCGTTTAGGGAAATTACGGGGTGCCGCGAACTTCCCTCCCTTTTCTCGAGGAGTACCTTGTGTGTTTTGTACATACTGCTGAAACTTTCAAGATTTGACTCCGGCTTCAATTTCCCGCTTGAGTTCCCTGCAATCTTCTGTATCATGCCCGTGGTCTTTATGGTATTCACAGTACTGACTCGTGGACCTATTTGGGTTGTGAGCTAATGGTTTTGGAACGGGGAACTCGACCTTGTGAATCTGAAGTATTTCTCGTCGAGGCTTCAATAATGGGGTTAAGGTCCTGTTGAGCCTAGGCAAAGGCAGTTTACTCTACGTCGTCAACTTGTACCTGTCCCTTCCCCCTCGATCTCCTGCAAGCAAGAAAGATTCTTGCGATCGCTTGAGTGTCTGTTCGTGCTGGATATGGCGTTCCACTGTGGCCCACATCTCCTGTGTGTTTCGAGGAGGTTTGGTGGTCAACTTCACTCGCAGGTGAGCAGACTTTCCCCATGGGTTGAGGCCTTGGATAAATCCGTTTTGGACATCTCTGTCATCGAGATAATCTACTTGGAGAGATTCTCGAGTAAAACGGTGATGGAAATTCGAGAGACTCTCGTTCTGTCCTTGCTTGATCGACGCCAGGTCTGACATTTTGTAATTTGCTTGCTGGGGAAGAAGCATGTGGCTAGTTTCACTGACAAGTCCTCAAAACTTTCAATGCTTCCTTCCGGTAACTGTTCAAACCAACCTTGTGCTTGTCCATCGAGGAAAGATGGTAGAGCTTTGGCCATGAAGTCAAGAGACGCGTTCCGAATTCTCATGACCTGCACATACTTGTGCAAAAATCGCTGTGGATCAGTGTCTCCCGAGTAGTTGACGAAGTCTTTTGGAAAGTCAAAGTCTCGAGGTTTCGAATAGTCTCGAATCCGTGGGACAAAAGGACTTTTAGTCACGATCATTCCTATCATTCTTCTCATTGAGTCGCGGATGGACGAGTCTTTGTAGCCTTGGTTCTCTCATTGTCGAGCAAATTGGGGCTCTTCACGATATGGAACGTCGTACCTCTGATGACCATAAGGTAGGTATCTTGAGTTGTGGTGAGTATCACGGTGATCGTGATAAGACCTCTCCGGAGGAGCTTTAGGCTCCAGCCGAGAACGAACGTTACCTCTTGGAGGGGCGTCCCAATTCCTTCTCGACAACTCCTCGATACTGGGTGATCGTGGGCTAGGCTGGTGGTGAAACTGTTTTTTTTCTGTTCATGTTCTTTTGCGAATTGCTCAATTGCCACTTAAACTACCGGATTTGTTCGCTCGAAAGTGTCCCAGAAGGTATCACCAGGGGTTTCGGAGAGCTCGATGTGAGAAGTTTTGCGATTGTGGGTGTCCTTGTTAAACTCTTCTCCCCCTTCACCTGGGACTTACCATTTTTCTCGTCTCACCTCGAGGAGATCTAACATCCTCATCGCCTCCTTCTCCGCGACCACATCTTCCAGCTCTTGATCCGTGGGATTGGGGAGGCCAAGCAAACAACAACGTTGGTATTCCTCTAGTATATATTTCTTTTTCCTCTGGTTAACTGAATTGTTGTCTTTCAAATTCTTCAATTTCGTTTCGATCTCAGCCAGTCGCTATTTTTGGTATGGATCAGGAACTTTGCGATGGGTTTTTGGATCTCCCTCCCCCTCACCTCCATGACTAGTTAGCTTTGTGGGAGGTTTTCATT